GAGAGTCTGGACGCGATGCCCCGCCAAAGAAGCCTTTCTTCAGCGACACAGGTAAGCCTCGTGAAACCAGGTTTACCTGTGTCGATGAAGAAAGGCTTCTTTGTCGGGGCATCGCGTCCAGACTCTCCCGATCTGCCGACAAACAGCTGATCGGCAGATCGGGGCAGCCATTTAAATTTAAATGAAGCCGCGATTATTTTAATCGCGGCTTCATTTCCCTCTTCTGATCTGGCTAATCTACATGCCTCCGTCGACGGAGGCATGGAGTCTGGACACACCCTGAGGGATTTGGGCTTATTTAGTCTGCAGAAGAGAAGAGTAAGGGGGGGGATTTGATAGCAGCTTTCAACTGCCCCAAGGGAGGTTCCACAGAGGGTGGAGAGAGGCTGTTCTCAGTAGTGATGGATGGCAGAACAAGGAGCAGTGGTCTCAAGTTATGGTGGGGGAGTTCTAGGTTGGATATTAGAAAAAGCTATTCACTAGGAGGGTGGTGAAGCACTGGAATGGGTTACCTAGGGAGGTGGTGGAATCTCCATCCCTAGAGGTGTTTAAGTCTGGGCTTGACAAAGCTCTGGCTGGGTTGATTTAGTTGGGATTAGTCCTGCCTTGAACAGGGGGCTGGACTTGATGACCTCCTGAGATCTCTTCCAGCTCTATGGTTCTATTAACCCGTTTGGCAGGCCTGCAGAGGCTCTTTTGTCCACCCCCTGGTCAAGAGCCTCGTTGGCAAATCGTGGGATTAAAAGAAACCATGTATAGTGGGGTGCTTTCCGGTTTCTGAACCCGTAGATGCACTAACCTCACATTTTTGACCTTTGAAGCAAAGAGGGCACAATAATATTATTATTTTATTACTATGTTTTATTAATGAATGTTATTATTTATTAGTGAGTGTTTTGATTCCAGTTGCTGAGGCTTTCAGAAAAATGCCAAATCACACATGACTTTTGATGAAATTCTGAATTGACAGCAATATTGAGGGCTGGTCTTATTACAAATGTAAGTAAAACTACAATGCTCAAGACAGAAGCTTAATTACGATGATGGAAGAAGCTCTCCTGTCATGTCAGCTTAGGTGTATCTTCACTAAAGTGCTACTTTAGCTTTTTAAGTGTAGACTTATCCTGAGTCCCATGAGGTGATACATGGCAGTAAGGGACTAGCTCGGGGTGAGCAATAATTTTTGATGGGGGGCACTCCAAGAATTTGGTAAGGGGTCATGACATTAATATTCTGTGATATTACTGGAGGAGGCATGGGGGCTGGGATGGAGATAGGGTGCAGAAGGAAGCTTGGGTTTGGAGTAGGGCAGGGACAATACAGGAAGGAGTTTGTGTGAAGGAGGGGGTTGTGACCTGGGGTAAAGTATTGGGGTGCAGAAGGTGATGTAGTGTCTGGGAGGGAGTATGGGTGTGGGAAAGGATTCTGACCTGGAGGACAGGTGAGGAGGGGTCCAGGACTTGGGGTGGGGGTGGGGTTGTGACCTGGAGCAGGGATATAGTAGGGGGTGCAGAGTTATGTTTGAGAAAGGACAATGAATGCCGTTAGAAAATATTAGTGTTTGACTTTAAAACTGCCTTTAACTCAAATCTTAAACAAAACATCAAAAACAACAATTAAAAGAAAAATCCTAGAGAGTACTGAAATTTAAAAAGGAAAAAAAATGCCCATATTCACTGCAATCAGGCCCGTACGCAGGAATTTCTGTGGGGGGTGTATGCTTTTTTTGTAAACGTGGACCGCAAGAGTGTGAATGCATGCCCCATGATTCTCCAAGTAAGCTGGGAAATCAGCCCCAGCCTTCCCTGGGCTCGTCAGAGCATGGGGGTGGGAATCTCAGGCAGCGTGCGGCTCCTGCCTTCTCCTGACCAGCCGGAGCATGCTTATTTGAGAGGTCATGGGGGTTGCTTTTGCATTCTTAGTTTCTCCCCTGCATTCGGGCTTGGCAATGATTATTAGATTACTAAAAGCAATGTGAGTAATGGATTCCCCATTCTCTCTGTCAAATTCCACAGAAAACTGTTCGGAGAGGCTGTGTTTACACTGGCATGATCTTATGCAAAAGTGGCCTCTCTTGCGCAAAAACTTGCTGTCTGTCTACACTGGCGGGGAGTTCTTGCGCAAGTAAACTGATGTTCTAATGTATGAAATCACGGCTTCTTGTGCCAGAACTCTGACGCTCCCACTCAGGACTAAGCCCTTTTGTGCAACTGTTCTTGCGCAAGAAGCTAGTGTAGACAGGCAACATGAATTTCTTGCACAAGAAAGCCCTATGGTTAAAATGGCCATCAGAGCTTTCTTGCGCAAGAGAGTATCTACACTGGCACGGATGCTCTTGCACAAAAGCACATGCCAGTGTAGACACGCTCTTGTGGAAGAGTTTTTTCAGAAGAACTCTTCCACAAAAGAGTTTTTGTGTGAGAACGCGCCACCGTAGACATAGCCAGAGGATCTGAGAAATACGGAGAAGAAGGCAGTGAGTGTTATGCCTGCTACTGATCTCCTGAAATCCACACAAATCTTGTGAGACACATAAGTATTGTGGCCAAAACTGCTTCTTCTTCTTCAGGATTGTAGAGTTAGACATTCCTTCCCACACTTTCAAATAAAATAATGATAATGCTTGAAAGAGATGTTGCATAAATAGAATGTCTAGTGTTTTTATTCTGCACTTGTGATAGTATCATGCGAAAAAGCAGGAGTGGCCTGAGGTAGCTGGTGCCCCAGGTGGACGGCGCAATTGTCCCCCCCCCCCCCGCACGTCCGTCAATAGTCATGACGTCATCACGGGGCGCCCGGGCCAGCGGCGTTCTAGGCAACTGCCTAGTTCACCTAGGCTCACAGGCTGCCCCTGTGCAAAAGGATTATAAG